TTTCTGTCTTTCTCTCTCCCTCGTTCTCTTTCCTTTTTCTGTCTGGCACTCTTTCTTTCTCTCTTTCACCTTTCAGTCTTTCTCTTTCCTCTTTTTTTCCTTCATTTTTTCTGTTTTTCCTCTTTCTTTCTCTCCTTTTTGCATCTATTTTTAGCAGCAACAATAAGAATAAGAACAATAAGAGCTAATGCAATCTACAGGAAAAGAAAAAGAAAAGAAAAAAATTCAAAGTGCAATAAAAAAGAATAGAAGAGAGTTAAAAAAAGACAACAGTATAAAGAAGTGGCTTCAGATATTCTTCACAGTAATTATGAGTAGAATTATACTTCAAATTACTCTCACTAAAGTTACATCCTGGCTTTCTTCTTTCTATAATCTAAATGCCACAGTTATTGCCACAGTTATTGTCTAATCATCCAAACCAGAAATCACAAATTCCCCCCCCCCCCATTTTTGTGCAAGAGTCCATTAAGGAGCTCTATGACCAAAAACAAAAATGTATATATAGAGATATTGTAAAGGAAATCAATTTGTCCACCCAGGCACGTTCTGTCAATGTCACCAACCAATGCTCCATGGTAGGCAATGCCAAATCTTTCCCGTCAAACAGGTTTCCTAAGCACTGGCAACTGGACTCAAACCTGCCAGACTTGTTTGGCTACAGGTGATGACGGATATGCCTTTAAAAGCAGAGAGCCAAGAATCCTTTTTCCAATTTTGGAAGGGTTGTAGAAAGGCCCACCTTGAAGTTTGCCTAGCTTGGACTCAAAAGGATCTGTTGCTAGTGGTAAATCGAAGCTACTAGGCCATTTCACCTAGTACACAGGACTAGAAACTTGATTATTTTTTGTCCTGATCCACCTAAATATAGTTCTCAATGCAAGCCCCCCCAAAAGGTACTTATGACCTTGTTCTGAAGTTCTGAAAGTGCCTCCCTCCCAGTCATGTGATTACATTTAGGAAACTCACCAATTGGTTTGCATTTATAAGCATTTGCAGCATCCCATGGTCACATGACTAAGATTTATGACATTGCTGAAAAACCAGCATTTACTTCGGGTTTTTGGCAAAAAAAAAAAAACAACCCAAAGCAAACAACGGGTTTACTTAATAACTGTGGCATTTGCTTATTGAATGTCGCACAAAGTCATAAAATCGGGTCAGTCACATGATGATCTGCTTTACAACTCTTACAACGTATGGTCATAATGAACAACCTGCATTATGGTTGTAGGTTAAGGGCTACCTGTACAGCTATGGGGCCCAGCTCCAATTCCAATATAGCTGAGGTTGTACCTCCTTAGAAAACCTTGTAGCTATCATAATGTAACTGCCATTTACCATTTTAGAACAATAGAATAGAATGGAATGGAATGGAATGGAATGGAATGGAATGGAATTCTTTATTGGCCAAGTGTGATTGGACACACAAGGAATTTGTCTTCGGTGGGTATTCTCTCAGTGTACATAAAAGCTATATGTGATAAACCATGCATTGAAAAATAGATTTATATACTTTATCTATGTTATATACCTTTATATACATACAACCCACAAAGTAAGGTTCTACATTTAGGCAAGGAAAATCAAATAAATGCACAGTATATGTGGTACCTTGCTCAACAGTAGTAACTGTGAGAGGGATCTTGGAGTCCTAGTGGACAACCATTTAAATATGAGCCAACATTGTGCAGCGGCTGCCAAAAAAGCCAACGCAGTTCTAGACTGCATAAACAGAGGGATAGAATCAAGATCACGTGAAGTGTTAATAATACCACTTTATAAAGCCTTGGTAAGGCCACACTTGGAATACGGCATCCAGTTTTTGTTGCCACAATGTAAAAAAGATGTTGAGACTCTAGAAAGAGTGCAGAGAAGAGCAACAAAGATGATTAGGGGACTGGAGGATAAAAAAAATGAAGAACGGTTGCAGGAACTGGGTTTGTCTAGTTTGCTGAAAAGAAGGACTAGGGGAGACAAGATAGCAGTCTTCCAATATCTCAGGGGCTGCCACAAAGAAGAGGGAGTCAAGCTATTCTCCAAAGCCCCTGAGCACAGGACAAGAAGCAATGGGTGGAAACTAATCAAGGAGAGACGCAACCTAGAACTAAGGAGAAATTTCCTGACAGTTGGAACAATTAATCAGTGGAACAACTTGCCTCCAGAAGTTGCAAATGCTCTAACACTGGAAGTTTTTTAAAAGATGTTGGATAACCATTTGTCTAAAGTGGTGTAGGGTTTCCTACCTAGGCCGGGAGTTGGACTAGAAGACCTCCAAGGTCCCTTCCAACTCTGTTATTCTATTCTATTCTATTCTATTCTCTTCTTCTTCTTCTTTTTCTTCAGCGTTTGTCTCGCGCTCGGGCGAGGTCCGCTAATGTCCTTGAGTACTGCTTCCACACCTCTCTGTCTGCCACGTATGTCGGGTCTGCCTTCGCGATCTCTAGATCGGCCTTGATCGTGTCCATCCAGCGTTGTTTAGGTCTACCACGCGGTCTCGCTCCTCCGACAGTCACCTTCATTACAGATTTGATGATGGATTCTTCCTTGGCGCGGCTCACGTGGCCGAACCATCGTAGCCGGGACTGCCTCATGACCGTGGGGATGGGCACGACGTTGAACCGTCTACGCACTTCTTCGTTCCTGACGCGATCGAGTAGGGTGAGGCCTACCGACCATCGGAGCATTCGCATCTCCATTATCTGGAGTCTGCTTTCGACTTCTTTGGTCGTCGGCCAGCACTCTGCGCCGTATATGGCCACGGGGCGCACCACAGAGTTATAGATTTTCGCCTTCAGGCGCATCGGCATCTTCTTGTCACAGAGGACGCCCGTGACGGACTTCCATTTGCCCCACGCTGCATTGATCCTGGCTGCCACCTCAGTTTGTAGTAGGCCTTCTTCCCCAAGAGTAGTTCCCAGGTACTTGAAGGTGGAGGCGCGCGGTAGCTCCTGCCCGTTCACGTGGATGGAGCCTGTCATTTCATTGTCAGTGGTCAGGTATTCGGACTTCTTTAGGTTCAGCCGGAGCCCGAACTGCTCGAGGCGGTCGTGCCACTGTTGGACTCGGTGCTCGAGTTCAGCCTTGCACAGGTTGGCCAGGAACACATCATCGGTGTAGAGCAGCGTCCATGGGGCGGGCGTGTACAGGTCGTGTGTAATTGTGTCCATCACCAGAATGAACAGCAGTGGTGAGAGAGCAGAGCCCTGGTGTACGCCGACGGTAATATTAAACTCCTCTGATATCCCAGCTGCCGCTTTTACACGGCTTTTGTGACATCTGTATAGGAGTTGGACCCATTGTACGAGCAGCTCAGGCACGCCGTGATCTCGCAGTGCGTACCAGATGAGATCGTGCGGGACTCGGTCGAAGGCCTTTTCCAAGTCTAGGAAGGCGGTGTGGAGCGGGATTTTCTTCTCTCTGTGAGCCTCCATCAGCATCCGCACACCGAAGATGGCGTCGGTGGTGCCGCAGTTCTTGATGAATCCAG